ATTTTCGTGTCCTGCATCAAATTTTGGGGTCCCTATGACCCAAGCACATCGGGATAAACACCGTTCAATGATAGAAAGTTTCATTTCTGCATGTATTTGAATTGATTTGATCTCATTCAAAGAACAGTTATGAGTAACGCGTTCTTTTATTTGCAAAAGATCTGCAAAGAGAGTTTCGTTTGTGTTAAGAAATAGTATCTCTCTTAAGAGACCAACAGTAATCTGCCATCATATTTACATCCCAATAACCGCGATATCCCTTTTTCATATCTTTGAAGTCTTGGTGGAATGGGCTTGATCAACTCTTATTATCTGATAGTTGAATAGCCAATTAATAATCTATTGCTTACCAGGACGCTCGCCTCGTATGTAATAAATAAGATGAGGGAAGTGTCTTCAGTATAGGACGGGAACATAGCTCCAATGGGAACAGCTCTCGCTATCGTTTTTGCCAGAGAGGGAAACGGGTTTGGATGCAATACCGCTTTATCTGGAGACACTCTAGAGAATACGCCGAATCAACGCAGACCGACCTCTCTCACCTTTTTTTATGGTCATACTCCGTCATCATGTCAAACATCTGGCGACAATATTTGGTTGTTTCCACGTGCCAAAATGTGAGAAAAGGATGATTTATAGGTGCATTTTCCCCTTTTTTTGTTGTTTTGCATCCTTACGCAGAGCATCTTTCCACTACAAGGTTAGCGAGTATCGAAATAGTCATCGACGAAACAAAGAATATAATTCTTTTTTTCTCTTAGCATATATCGGAGAATAGTTAGACAGCGCAGCAACAAAAACTTCGAAAAATTGCTAGGCTTGTATAAATTTCATTCAAAAATAAGATTATCTTAAGCTATTTTTTTCTCATAAGAGAGATGAGGTCTATTTGTAAGTCAACCATATAATAAATGATAAAGGTAATAAGACTATCCACTGAATAAATGAAACTTATCTCTGGAGCAAACTCAGAGTTTATTTCCTTCATACAGGGTTTGCACTAGAAAGGAAACGACAAGCCAATTGATACCCAAGGCAGAGGTCCCCTTTTACTTAAAAATTAATTAAAATTTTATAGCGAGAGATGAAAATTAGAGCTGTCGATCCCTGTAATAGAAATATCAGAGTATGAAATAAATAGAGATGGAAACAAATAAAAAGTTTTGGAAGGAGCCTAGATTGCCATGTTATCGTATAGTGTTGCGTACTCTATGTCAACTTACTTATGGCTTCCGACCAAGATCTTTGATATGTAAATTAACTACGACGATTGTTTAAATTGGTTTTTTTCAATGTTATCATTTAGTGGTTAATAAAAAAGATATATTTTCACTCTATGAAATTAAGATTTATGGTTATATAATATTAGAATACGCATAATTTAACCCTATTTATGTTGATTTTCAAATTTACTTTCTCGTTACTAATTGCAAGAATATATTTTAAGTATTATAAAATTCATGATGCAAATGAATGGTATAACTTTAACGCAGAGTATTTATTCTATGGACTATGACAGTTGTAACGGTCGCAATTAAATAATCCGCCAAGCTCAAAGATAATTAAATGTGAAGCTTGACGGATTATCTCATTAAGTAGTATGACAGTTAGCACACCCAGCGATTATTTAAAATGTAAGTTACGGGCTTGATATCCCACTCTGATATAGTTATCCCAACTGTTCGGATCGGTAGATGCTTCACGACCTTCACCATTACGTGCAAGATATTAACGAGCTCATGATCCCGAATAAATTCCATTTTCCTGGCTATACCGTGTGACGGTGTAGGCTGGTCATGGCCTGCACCGTGTACTTGTTTCCCTCTCCTTCCTAGGCAAAGGCGCACGGCTGGCATCGGACGCACGTTATTTTACGTGTCTGATGCCTGCCTTTATTTTTTTCAGTATTGTAGCTAGAGAGAGAGAAGGCAGCGAGCAAGAGAAATGGGAAGGAAATATCAAGAGTAGGAGAGAGAGAGAGAGAGAGAGAGAGAAAATATATGTAGTTCGGTGAGGCTCGGCGCGCGGCACTTGTCGCGCTGGGCAGTGCCACGTGCCGCCGATTAGGAGGACAGTGGTGGGGAAGGCGTGAGAAGCCGACTCGCACGCACTACTAGATCGTCGCACGCGAAGGAGATCGGCCGCACTGGGAGGATTGCCATCTTTTTCTTACCTCGAACCAGAGAGAGAGTGTGAGTGCCGTGACGAAAAGAGTGTGAAGCCGTGACGATAAAGAAAACTGGGCCACGTCTTGCGTTAGCCGCCTCACCTGCAGCCTACCTGCCAAGCAGCCATCACTTTTGGTCAGGTTTAGTTTTCTCTCCTCTCGTTTCTCTCTCTCTCTATTTTCCTCGGCATTGTCTTACGGTTTTGTGTGCGGCGCCAGGCTTTCACGAGCCGGCGCAACGTATCTTTGTCATTTAGTCGTTTGAGCCGGTTAATGAGACGACATGGCGCTAACGTGCCGGTCATCTCATTTAGTGTAAGTTTTGCGTATTATTAGTGATAAGTGGTTTTGTATTCTCATCGGCACTTAGGGAAGTGCAAGTGTAATAAAAGGTCAATTAACGAAGTTGAGAGTGTGAAATCATTGAATGTACACCTTCTCCTTTCTGCTTTGCTAGGAGCGACACACCGCCTCCCTTGCCCTCCCCTTAAATAATTAATGATAGAGGATATTTCAGACCAACTCTATTACAACCGAGTCAGTTTGGCGAACGGTGCTCCGCGCTATGTGCTAATACGTGCATGCTACTAACGAGCTGTTCACCAAACATCTACGAATTATCCATCTCTTAGACGACACGTTCTGCTTTGAAGCACGCACACAAGGCGTGTGTACCATATGAAACGATGTGTTGTTTCCTTTACTCAGTCGTACATTAATTCATATCGGGATCCTACGAACTCGACTTTTTGAAGTGTTACACAGTCAAAAGTTTATTTATATTGTATTATAACATGCATGAATTAACATGATTTTTACATTTCATTGCTAGTAATGAATGGAACATGTCCCTGCATGGAAATGTGATAGCAAGTAATTAACTGTAAATAATGCGAGCAACAAGCCACTGCTGTAATTTCAATCAACAAATTATATTGTAAATAAATTAGATGCAATTATTAATTTATTGTACTAAAACTGAATTTCCTATTATTATTCAGAAAGATTAATTTATTTTTGTAAGTGAAATATAATAATATTTGTGATATTGGTTGATGGGGAGTAGACATCCGGAACATACAACGTAACTCTTAGTACATATGTATGTGATAAGTGGCAATTCGCAGGAGGCGAACTTGCCCCGTATTTAGGCCTTTCTAATAGCCGAGCGGCCTTTGACTCGAGCGGTTCTCAGACTATCAGGTACCCCGGCCCCGTTCGCACGTCAATAATAATATTACTGTTATTCGGATCTCGGACTTCGATATCTCGATTGTAAACTAATTAATTGAATGTTTACCTATAACTGGGAAATATATGGATATACTTAGGCTTTTGTGTGTATTTATAATTTTTATTTTAATTATTATTACAATAAAATGAGGTAACCAAGTGGAGACATATATATATATATATATATATATATGCAAAGATACAGACGCGTGAGTTTCGCCTCGCGTAGTCTATTATTTTTTAGTACATAAACATAAGTGGTACTCACTTCGTAATTATGATATTGATATGATTTGGTCCTTTAGTATTATTATATTGATACGCAATTATGATCTTCCTTCGTTTTTAATAATTTTAATGGTCCAATGTAGATTTCTGATTTTGTTCAATTTTGCAGCTTCAAATAATCGCACTCAGCACCTTGCTAATATTTTCAATCAATTTGATCTTTGATAAATTTAGACTTTAATATTCTAGTAAATGGAAACTTTAATAAAACTGAACTTCAATTTAGCCAGACTCTCTTATAAAGTTAATAATTCCAACAAATTTAATTATTATGTCGTAGCGAAAGAATTGCAACCTACTTACTCGGGCGCTCACTACTAACTGCCTGGTTTCACTCTCACAGTTCGTCTCTGCATTTTTGTTTCCCTTTCTCATTCCTGACACTCTGTCTCTCTCTGATTTACGCGTTTCTAATCGCTTTATATTACTTAGCCTAACACGCTGAGTGCAGAATGCTCAGTTTCTCCCACTCATTTTCGCTAAGGCGCGCACACGGGTATATATGGAACGATCCATGTCAACCGGATCACTGCTGTGTCCAAAATTTGATGTGACCAAAAAAATCGTGCAACGACTCAATTTTCGAATTCCTTTGAGCGATTTTTTGCTTTTTGGATGTATCGGATTGTTTGAAAAATTAAAAAACTTCCCAAGATCTTTTACAAAAATTCAAAAAAATCGCTCAAAGGATTTCGAAAAAATTCACACTTGTGTTTTGAGGAATTTCAAACAATTTTGTTCCTTAAATTTTTTTTCCAAAGTCATTTCCTTCTGAGTAAAAAAATCGCAAAGTTTTTTATTTTTGAAAATTTTCAAAAAATTATAACTTTTTTATTTTTCATTTTAGCGAAAATGGTCTCTGTTACTTTTTTGTAGGAGATGAGCCAGATTTTCATAAAAAAATATGAAATATTAATTTTTTTAACATTTATTACTAAAAATTTGAAAAATAAAATTTTTTGTTTACGAGTTTGTCTCTTGTAGCCACCATATTGGAGCCGCCATGTTGGATTTTGCAAAGGCGCACACAGCATCAGAAAGTAGATATCCTAAGCTTTAAAATAAGTCGTTGCACGATTTTTTTGGTTACATCAAATTTTGGACACAGCAGTGATCCGGTTGACATGGATCGTCCCATATATACTGCTGGCTATAGTGTTTTATGGCTATGTTCTTGGCCTTGGCGCGACACGAATGGGACTCCCGAAAGTGAAATTCTAATCAGACATATCATAACAAAGAAAATAAAATGGTTCGTCACATAACAGTATGTATATAAATAATTTTAAGAAATATTGTAAAAATTACTTACGTATTCAATTCCAAATCTAATCGAAATCTATGATTGAAAGCCTTAATAAGAAGTGATGTCCGATGAAAGTGTTTTCCAGTCTAAAAAAGGAAAAAAGGAAAAGAAGCATTATATAAAAGTAATTATAGTATATACATTATTTTAATTGATTTAAACTTATTTATACACAAATATAGAAATAAATAATTTTATAGCACGCCGTGTCTTAAATGCGCGTCCAGCGCACGCGTTTTCGTGTCTTCAGTGGCTGATTCTGGCATGTTATATAAGCCTAACTTCACACCGGTTCTCTACGCACACTTGACATTTGTTTTTAGTTATTATTGAAATAATTAAAATAAATAAAATATATTCATAATATGATAAAATTAATTTATTCATAGAATGATACTTATAAAAAAATAATTTAAAACATATCTTGGACATTGAAAAAATTTCTAATAAAAATAAAAAGTACACAAAAAACATTGATAAAACTATTTAAAATAAAAAACCATTTAAATAGAATATTTTTTTTAACAGCGTTATAGAAACTTATTAATAAACCTAATCAATAGTTCCATCGAATAAGTGGTTTTTCCATTTTGGGCCTCACTGGTCAATTTTCAGATAATATGCTCTATCTTCTAATCAACGAATAGAGTTGAAATTTGATTTCATATTTCAAACCATTGAAAGAAGGTAAAAAAACCTTCAAAAAGTAGAATTTTCATAAAATTTCTTATGTCACTGAAAAAAAAGTTGATTTCAAAATAACTTTTTTCTTAGCGACATAAGAAATTTTATGAAAATTCTACTTTTTGAAGGTTTTTTTACCTTCTTTCAATGGTTTGAAATATGGAATCAAATTTCAGCTCTATTCGTTGATTACATCTGAAGATAAAGCATATTATCTGAAAATTGACCAGTGAGGCCCAAAATGGAAAAATCACTTATTTGATGAAACTATGTCTAATTGAAACTTAGAATTAATAATTTAAGTTCTTTCATCACTTTTCATAAGTAATAGTGCAGTTTTTCATTATTATTTTATTGTTTGCTACACTTTGTATTTTTATTCACAAAGACTGATCGGCCGCTAGATACTAAAAAATGACTGTCAGAACGCACTGGAAGTTGACAATGATTTTTAATTCCTAATTATTAAATTTCAGATTTGATTTAAAAAAATATCATTTTTTATAGAACTCATTTTGGTACAGACTCATCTGGCGCATTTAAGACATTCATGCTACAAAATAGTATACGATACGGGTGCCAGAATCCATCGTTTCAGACACGTGTATCGTAATGTACTAAAAAATACAGAATTATTGTGACATACTCGTATGTTGGGAATGGTAATGTTGTGAGGCTTGACCTGGGAGTGTCACAATTCATGCAACACCTTAAAAAAGTCATTGTCGCCCTTTTTCACCCCGTAACCGATGAATTAGTTATATTCAACTCACGTCCAAACCGGAACACTATTTGTCTTTCGTTTCCATCTTTCCAAGCCCGAGAAAATAATGTAACATAAAAGAGAACGCCATTCGATAGCAACCGAATAAGAGAATGAAAAAACAAACATGGTAATCGTCTGAGGTTTGAACATGTCACGAAACTGAGTCAAGAAATAGATTATGATTCAACCCTATTTTGGATCTGCAGAATCCAAAAAAGTAGGTCCAAAAATCGTATCAGATCTTCTTTGCAAGATATGGGAAAAGAATATATTATTTTATGTCTTAAATTATAGAACTTTATTTAACGAAATAAATTCGCATATAAACACAAAAAGTGATTCAAAATATAATATTACATATATATTAGTTTTATTAAATGATCCTTTTATGATAAGAATTACACTGCCCATCAATCACTTTTGCCATGCTTACCTCAAAATTAGGCAAACTTGAAAGTTTTGTATCTCGGTCGGAAATCATCGTATCACAAAAAACCGCAGGGCATTTTAAAGGTAATTGCAAAAGCTTCCATTTAAGATGTGCAGAGACTTAAAAATGAAAATATGTGCTTTTTACAGTAAAAAAGCTGATTAAAAAAATTTCAATTTTTTTAACCTCGACTTAAATCAATGCCAATTTAGAACCAGGCGGTGGAAGGCAAATCCACCTAAGGGGTTCGGAGGGTAATGTCTTTCCCTTTAAAATGAGCTCCCGCGGGGTTCTATCCGATGCTTTTTAACCGAGTTACGGCGTTTTTTGTATCAAGCAACCTTTTTTTCCAATCCTCAATTACTTCGACTTGCGTACGTTTTGGAAAAAAATGCCAAAGAGAAAAAATTTTAGTTTTTTTGTGATTTACTACGTCCCTAGACATTTTAAAACTAAACGTAAAAAAAAAGTTAAATTCCTTTATTTTTTTAATGCGCTAAAAAACCGAAAAAAATTTTTTTCTCTATTTCTTTATTTTGACTTTATTTTCGTATTCTTGGACACGAAATGATACTTTTTTCTCTTTGGCATTTTTTTCCAAAACGTACGCAAGTCGAAGTAATTGAGGATTGGAAAAAAAGGTTGCTTGTTACAAAAAACGCCGTAACTCAGTTAAAAAACATCGGATAGAACCCCGCGGGAGCTCATTTTAAAGGGTAAGACATTACCCTCCGAATCTCTCAGGTCGATTTGCCCTCCACCGCCTGGTTCTAAATTGGTATTGATTTAAGTCGAGGTTAAAAAAATTGAAATTTTTTTAATCAGTTTTTTTACTGTAAAAAATACATATTTTCATTTTTAAGACTCTGCACGTCTTAAATGGAAGCTTTTGCAATTACCTTTAAAATACCCTGCGGTTTTTTGTGATACGATGATTTCCGACCGAGATACAAAACTTTCAAGTTTGCCTAATTTTGAGGTAAGCATGGCAAAAGTGATTGACGGGCAGTGTATATACTGAGATTTTTTCGTACTATTAATAAGTAAGCAATAGGCAAATGATTAATAGTTTTGAATCCAATGGTATAAGATTTTTTTAAATAGCAGGAATATCTTGTATTTATGTTTATATTACTTATCTGTACTCTATAAGTTCGCTAACTCTGATCGATCACAATAAACAAAGGCTATAAACTGAGCCACAGTGTCGATTAGTAATCAGTACGGGGGATGTTGGTAAATCAAAAAATGAATGCCTTACGCGGCAGTGATGTGAAAATTTATATATTAACTTTGTGGATATATTTTTATTCATAAAGAAAAATATGCCTACGAATAAATATAGTCATGAAGACAACCGGCGAAAAGTGTATGGTCCTTGTCGAAAAAAATTGTTTTCGGGCGGGAATAAAACTGCCGATCGTTTTACCATCACTGTTGCTATACTACTCCTAGTATTAGTGCGAAAATGTTGTAGTAAAAAATAAAAATTTTCAAATTATTATTTTATTAATTTTTAATTTTCAAATTATCATTTTATTAATTATTAATTTGCAAATTGTAATTTTGTTAATTTATAACAGTGAATCGGCCATTTCCGCCTGGATAGCTCGCAACCGCCCGCATAAGTTATTTATTTCTAGAATTCGGAAAGCAAAAGACGTTCCCACGACTGAATAACGCGTTAAGCAAAACCACGTTAAACGCACGGATTAGGATTCGGGATGAGGAGCAACACAGCAGCGAATAAGCAGAACAGCGAATTAATTCACTAATCCTTTTCTCGTTAATAACAACTTATAAGATGGCGATCTAAGGCCGATAAACTCTGCGAGCGGCACAATAACAAAAAGCGGGTACGAAGGCAAATCAGTGGCCGATCAGCCTGCCGATTCCCTTTTGAATCTACTTATTACAATCAATCTCCGATAAACAATTCCGCCGTTAGTAGGTAAACTAGAGGGGCCTCAACTCAGAGGGGTATCAGCTCACTGAGTTGAAGCGTGTGCATGTTCACCTCACCTCCCCCCCCCCGATCGACCCATGCGCTGTCGACTCCCCCCCCCTCCTGCTGAGTTATACCGGTGCGTTCTACGCACTCCCCCCTCCCCTATTAAGTTGATCTGATGTGGTGTGCGTTCTTCCCCCTCGCCTACTGATTTGATTCCTATGCGCACGTCACCTCCCCCTCCTCGTACTGAGTTAGACCGGTGCGTTCTACGCACTCCCCCCTCCCCTACTGAGTTGATCTGATGTGGCTTAATCTGATGTGGCGTGCGCGTTCTCTGCAGCACTTCCCCCCTCTCCCACTGATTTGATTCCTATGCACTACGCGCGCGTTCTGTGTTACACGTTTCGATTCTTTTATTGTGCGCGTGTGTGCGTGTGCGCGCGTGTGTTAAAAATTTTTAGATTTATCTGAAAAAAAACGGACGGATCGGGGGAATACGCGCGTCCTCCGGATCCGCAGGCCGATGCTCTACCGCTAGAGCTACAGCCACTGTTACCACGGGCAATACCGTATTGTGTATACTGGCTACACACACGATTGATATGTGGGGGGGGGCGGCGGCGGCGGCTACTGCTGCTGCTGGGGAGGGCCCAAGCGCTAATACATACAAATGATAATAAATTTTAATAAATATACTAATTATAATAAATATTATACATAAATATTTATTATAATTGGTATATAACGAAGAATAATTTTTTTATGTTCGATGTGTGCGCGCGGGCGCGCGTCTGTGCGTGCATGCGTGTCTCATCTACCGAAGATGGTTTAATAGAAAAAAATGTGCAAGTACCTGCTTACTTTCTTTTATTTGTAGACTTCGTGGTTGTAAGCTACTATAAATAGCACAGTGTAAGAATTATCGAATCTTTCATCAACCAGCATTCCTATAAAATGGATCGCTACTCTAAAGTAAAGTACTCTCGTCTTCCACAGGAAGATCCGGACGAAAAGAAGAACAAAGAATCATCGACATGGAAACAAAGTATTTCCAAATTTTCGAGCAATACTAAAAATTTTCCTGCACAAAAAGGCTATCTGCAGTTCAATAACGAAAAGAAGAAATAATCATATTTATACATGTCATCATTGTACACCACCTCAACTAATAAATAAACATTTTTTTTGTCTAAATTCTATGTTGTATAAATTTTTTTTGTTGATAAAAAATACAAAATTTATTATAAAAAAGATG